TTTAATGCGATACTCACCTTAGTCTTAGTAGTCTTATGCATCATTTAACGATGGACGCGCTTTCAGTTACATTAATTTAGACATGAATATCACAGGTTTCGCCGGGGAACTTCTTTCGTCCTCTTCTTGCTCTCTGCTGCGCTGATCCTCCTATTTTCCCAACTAGGCTCGGTACCAAAAATGCAGAGTTAACCCCGCTTAATAAGTACAGATTCTCTCAGAGTGATATGATAGATATCTCTAAGGCGCTGTTTTCTTTTTTTACTTGATGTTGAAACCAAAATCCTTTCCAAATTCATTGGGATATAACTCAGCAAGTTTATCCGTCCGTCAGTGATCAGTTTCTTCAATGAATGCAGGAACCCTCGTTTCGAGTTCTATCGATGTGTATATCAATAACAAAAGACCTAAATCTAACCGATGTCATTTATGCAATTTGTACTGACAAAAAAAAAAATCTTTAACTGCGGAGCAATGCGAAGCACAAAATTTTGGCAATAAGGTATTAAATTCATATTCCATTGAGACTTAAAAATTATCTATGAATTATTTTATACCCCCATTCAAATAAAGCAAATCTCTCTATTTCACCTCATGAACCGAAAAACCAATTTAAAAAATAATTGCTGAATTGCTTTAACATTAAATTTTTACAACCTTGCGGCAGCTGCCAAATGAACAAATAAGATTGTCGAAGAAAACAAATGTATACATTTGCCACTATGCGCTCATATCGTCGTCGCACCACCAACTGTAAATGAGCCAATAAAAATCGGATGAAACTATAAAGTAAGCGGCGGCAACATTTTCACATTAAAGATAATGAATGACCGGAAGACTGCGACAGTACCACCAAAAAGGCGACAGCAATGCAAGCCAGGTCCAACGCGCACAGCAAAAATAGTGCAAAACGTAGATTGTAAGATCAAACCAGGTTGACTTACAGTGTAAGAGAAAATTATGTGCACATGTACATATAAATTCCAGTCTAGGGATGTGCGTACGTATGTTTTGTAATTTGTTGGTAAGAGTGTATGAATGAGATTTTTCTTGGCATTCAGACGGAAGTATGTGACCTTCTGTGCATCCTTTAAGTGAAATTCAATTGTTAGCGAATTTCTCACAGCGAAGATGTGTTGATTGTCTCTAGCAAAGGCGAGACTTGCTTGACTACGTACATATGTATGTGTGAGCGCTTATACTAGGGTGGTCCTCATGATTGGAATTCACTCTGTATCTGTAGATATATGTGAGATTATTTTCTAAAAAATTTGCTCACCCAAAATATACCAATCTCAAAAAATATAGATTTAAAAAAATAACAGGGTTGCCATCTGTTTAAAAACTCAAGCAAAATAAAAGCGAAATTTAGCTAAAATCCTAAAAGGAATGTATATACTAAAGTTGTTTGGATGCACTTCGATGCAAAAATCGTTTTGTGTAGGGTTTCCAGCCTTTTAAGGAATTAAAGGGTTAAAATTTATAGTTCAGTAAATTAGGTATGTTTAACCTGTAGGACTAATAAACGAAGGTTGCAAGATATAGTTTTAATAAGGGTAAGTTGCGAATAGAGTTGCTGCAACTATCTTCAAAGCTCTCTACTGCGTTTCGAAAGATTAAGTGAAGGATATGCTAACGAGCCTTAGCGTTATGCTGTATGCCTTTTAGCAATTAGTATTTAAAAATTATATTAACTTTAAAAAAAATATATAGATATTTTTTTTTTTAATTAATGCTAATAAATAAAAGAAAAGTGAATTTTAAAAGATTAAAATATATAAAATTAAATAAAACAAATATATATATATCTTGTTTTAAATCAGTAAAATATAAAAGTTAAAGAAAATAAAATTAGCACAAGAAAAATAAATTGTTTGAAAAAAAAGAATCAATAAAATAAAATTCTAAAAACTAAATTAAATTGAAAAAATTTGGTTCTTTTTTTAAAGAATAATATCTAAAAATTAAAGCAAATTAAACTAAAAAAAGTTATCATTTAAAAAAGAAAATAAAATAAAATGAAATAAACTAAGTTTTCACTTTTATAAAAATAAAATAGAAAAATTATAAGAAAATTAGATTAACAAAAGAAAAACAAATTAATTTAAAAAAAATAAGAATGAAAATTTAAGAAAAATTGTTTTTATTATCAACAATACCATTTTAAAAATAAAAGAAAATTAAGCTAAAATGAAAAAATAATTACATAAAGAAGAAAAAATTAGTTCGTAGAAATTAAATTAAATAAAAGAAATATATTTTTTCTTTTTGGTTGTTTGTGTTTCCGACAGGGTAGGAGTATGATGTATTGTGGAACGATTTTCCGTCATCCCTTGTCAAATTTGGTTTGGAGACAAACCGGTTTCGGCGTTGTACCATCTTCAGTGTCGCACTTAGATGGGTATGCATGACCTAATGACAGTTAAAACAGATAGTAACACGAATACATAAAAAGCGGAAGGAAACACGAACTATTCAGAACGAAAAATTACACTGAAGATGGCACAACGCCGAAACCGGTTTGTCTCCAAACCAAATTTGACAAGGGATGACGGTAAATCGTTCCACAATACATCATATATTTTTTCATTCAAAACAATAAGATATAAGAATTAAAAGAACATTAAATTAAAAAATAAAAAATTAAAAGAAAACAAGAACTTAAAAAACGCCTGTGCGTTGCTCACTCGGCCATTGCGACTGTTGAAGCGACGCGAGCTAAATGATAAACAAGTGTTTTCTCTTAAAATACCACGAGTAGTGAATGAGAGCGCCTCAGAGACATACGCAGAGGTCACCATGGAGATGTCACGAAACGAGCTAACGATCCCGTTTTATGAAGATCCAGTTTACCAGAGTCAACCAAGTAAATGTAATGTCTCTGCTAAGAGCGGATATACACTAAATATTTGACAGAAACAACGAAAAAAAAGGTTGAATATTACACGAGGGTAATAATGACTCTAGGAAGTAGCCGATTTTTACTTGACCTTTTCAAAGGTCCTCTGGATAGGGTACAACTTTTTAAGAGACCACGGTGTTATAGGGAATTAGCTTGACAGCAATCCGGCCCGTGCAGTCTCTAACTCCCTTTTTTGTGAAGTATTGTGCCGTGAAGGATGAAAACTTCCCTGAGTGGTTCCGTGTAGAGTAGAGCCAACCTTTTGGCCCTATCTGTATGGCTTTCCCTCGCTCCATAAAGTTGTTCATTAGAAGATGTATTCTCCTTCGTTTCAGAGAAGAGTAAGAGTTACCCCTCGCCTGTGAATATCTGTACACTTGGCCATCTGTTTCAGATTACAAGTTGGGGCTATTTATAAATCTAAGTTTCTTTCACCCTTTGCAATACAAGGTATTTCCGACTTTCCGGAAGTCAATCTAACACTAAACAGTGGGACTTGACTGGAATACTCCGTCAAAATTCAAACGAAAATAGTAACATTCAGCCCGAAAGCACGGCCCGATTAACAACGTGGCTTGCAGATTTTATTGAGTATTTCTCTCAAGATTCGTCATATTTCATGCATGTAAAAACAATACTGGCAATACCTTCGGCAGGTATAGTCAGTGTTGAGCCTGATTTTCTGGTAGAATAATAATAGTTAAGACCTTGTTAGACAGGCTGGTTATATCAAGAGATCTCTCAGTTATGATGTGATACGAAGGAGAAAATAACCTTAGGCCTATCCCATCCAGATATTTTGGCAAAATGAGCCCGTTTCTTCAGGTGTCCAATTCAGGAAGGTATCTAATTCCTTGGTGAAATTTTTTTCTAAAAATCGAAAGTGTTCCTTTGGGATCGCAGTTATTCCCTTGAGAAATCGAATGATCGGCTCAAAGAGCTTCTGCAGTCTCCGCGTTATTAGTTTATGACTCGGCGGTCAGAGTGAAGCAATATTCTGTCTTTTGTGTCCAGTACTGATTCACTACCTGATTTCCCCGAACCCCGCTATATCCCAAAATACTGTATAGACTGACAATTGGCTAGAGATTTTCGACATTGCTGAACACAAGACGAGTTAGTCATTTAAGAGTTGAAGATTTAATCTTAGTTCAACTCGCAAAATAAAGGCTAGTCAGGAAGTCCGCAAGTTTGCCTCCAAGTTGCAGGGGAAGAAGTGCCGTTCTTTAGAACACCATCAGATTTCCAGTCACTTTTGTGGCAAAAGTGAACTTTGAATCTCACTTCGTGACCTGAACTTTAAAGATGTTTCATTCCGACTATACCTAAAATAGAGGCTTGGCCCTTATCAGTTATCAGCAGGCTGCTAAATTCTTGAGGCCTTAGGGAACTCTTAACTATTTACAGAGACTTTCAAGTGGTTTTATTTAAGTGCAGTTCTCAGGAGTGTCTGCGACGTTGCCTGAGGTGCATAGCGGCATGCGGTTCTCAAGGAAATGCCATTTTCTACTACAAGTATAATTGATTACGAGAATGGGCATTCGAATCCGATCAACAATTAACTGCAATCTATTTACCCCGTTTTGGTTTCCATAGAGCTAGTTCCATTGACTTTTCCCACGGATCGATTATATACAGAGCTAGGCAAAGTCGTACGTCAAAAAAACGAAGAAGGAACGTCTTCTGTAACCGCACTGATAATTTTTTAAAACTAATTCCTATGAAATATGTCACATTTCGTTCTATTTCGGACCACCTTACTATACACAAAAATGGCAATATAAATGACCAACTTCAACACTGGCAAGGCTGCGTCCAACAGAAGGATACCAGGGCCAAATTGACCATTGCGGACACACATTATTCCATGATTAATTGCTTCCGATGCGAACCGTCTGTTCTGTGTGCGACGCCACAGCGCCAAAGGATTTTTTCACATCGCACAACGAAAAATGGTGGCTGTGAAAGTTTGAGGGGAGCACAGCGCATACAATTGCAAAGTGCGAAACGAAAAGTAACATCCTGCAAGGGCAACACAGCGCACAAAAATCGCAACATTCGCAGAAAAAGGATATTGACTGTTCGGCGCGCGAAGATATCACGGCACAGATAGTAGCAAAATACAGCGCGCAACTTCTGGCAGCAGTGTGGGAAAGCATTGTAGCAACAGCTGGCAGGATGCTGATTTGCGTCGCGATTTCTGGTTTGATTTTTGCTTCGGACTTTTACGCGAGGCAGAGCGCGCCGCTTTAATTTTGCAACGCGCATATGGCAGCACCGTTGCCAGATATTGATCGCAAATCTTTGTTGAAAAAAAAAAAACAATGAAAAAAAACATGTAGAGGCCTGTCGAAAAAATCTCACTCAGCATAATAAAATAAATTGCATATGCAACTGCTACTTGCTGTACGCTTGATATACCTGCCACTGTGCGGACGTTTATTTGTGGCTTTATGACCTTGCCGCAACTATGTGCGTGCTTGTGTGCTTCACGCTATCTATCTATCTACTGTTTGTGTTGAGTGTATAGCGCGCAGCTAATCGCGCCTTAACATCGCCGCTTAATGCGTGTGTACACCTTATCGGCGACGGCATCTTGTCGAATGGCGCATAAATCCACATTGAGTAGCCATAGCAAATGTAGCAACACTGACAGCGCTCACTATGCGCGCTGCCTGCGCTGCGCGCGCTTTCAACTAATCGAATCAGTTGCAATCGCATTGCTTAAGCATGCCGCGCACCGTCGTACCGCACCGCGCCATGCCTTTGCTTATCGCAACGCCTGGAAATATATCGCTTTGGATCGACACAGAAATTGAATTCAATCGAATGGGATATCCATCTTGCTGCTGAATGGTATAAATTACATAAATTGCATTTCCATGTCGTGCCACTGTCGGACAGCACAGCACAGCGCGGCGTTTTGAGCTTTACCTACTACCACCGCTGCCATGGCCTCTTGATGGATCATCGTTGCCACTGCTGCTGCTGCTGCCACCGCGTGTATAATATTTAAAATAACAACGCAATGCACTTTCCAGGCCAATTCAAAATCACTAAATTGTTTGTTAGTGTTATATAACTTTGTTGTACTGCATTTATTTTGTTGTTGTTGTTTTTGTCGCTGTTCTGTGTTGCTGTTAGTGTTGCGGTTTATTTATGCAGCCACTGACCAGTGGCAGGCAACCTGTGTACGGTAAGCGTTTTGTTTTACCCGCATACCACCGCCGACCACTATGGCGCCGGCCGCGCTCAACACTCAAGCACTCACCACAACTTAATGGGTAACGCCCGCATCCGCGTCGCCGCATTGCGCGCGAATGTGAACGCAAAGTGGTTGCGTGAGTGTGTGTGTGTATGTGTGCGCCTATTTGCTGAAAGCCTTCTCCACTTGATAAACAAACATTTGCTCTGCTTGATATATGGGCACGCATACATACTTATGTACGTATGGGAGTGTAAGTGCTTATATCCACTTGCTATTTGTTTACTAAACCTCCTGCTATTAAAGCGCATCAAAGGTGCACTGTATGTTTCACATTAGCGCTTGGAATCTAAAGATTTATTCGTGTGTATTTGCTCAGCATCAATTCAATTCGATTTGCGCTAAATTAATCATAGTTCTGGGCTGTGGGCGTGGCAAACGTTAATTCAAGGTTAATTAGAATTCTCCGCTAGAGGCGCCACCAATTCATGTTATATAATTTGCCATACATTTCAAATGCCATATATGTAGCAAATAGTAAGTACTAATTGAAAGTCATTCGGTTCACATTATCTTCATTGAGTCAGTGTTGCCAGAAGAATCCGGGGATGATAGATAACAGTTTTCGAGTTTGGCTCACCATAGTTATAATAGTTAAAAAGGTGTATTATCGTCAAGCAAAATCCATGAATTCATGAATCGCGAATATCAATGAGAACAATCTGTATAATCCTAACTGCTGGCTTGCGGGAAAAACTCACATACCCAAGTCATATCCAAAGCGACAACAAATCTACGAAAAAAAAGTTTACACTAGGCCTTTAGGTTATGTTAGGTTATCTTGGATGTCCTCATACAGCAGCGTAAAATGTACAATTAGGCCATAATGAGCTTATTGTGCTGCCATATTAGAGAGTCCTCCTGTCTTAGTCCTAAAACCAATCCGTAGCTCTGATGAGACGCACAAAGTCATAAATACTGGCTGAATCCAGTTCAGCCAGACATTCAAATGCATCGTGGAGGATGTATCTTATGTAGATTTGTCACAATGAGTGCTTTAGTAGCTGCCTGGATATCAGAAAAGATAGCTCCTGTATGCAAATCAATAGGAGAATTGTTCAGCTTCGGTGATTGCTGTTAGCTGCAGCAGACTCCTGGCAGACGAAAACTGGGGCTAAGTAAGAGGTCTTGCGAGAATACCCCACTTCCTACCTTTAGATCTCGCTTGGAGTTCTCATTGTAGAATCTACACTATAAATGGCTGTTAAATCAGAGCACGAGATCAGGACTGAATCATCCTCCTTTCACACCTTGAGGGGATCTTTGTTTGGAAAGGTCTCCTCATTCCAGATGGTGGGACTCTGTAGTCCAGGCGCCCAAAGTCTATTGGAAGATCTTCCGAAATTCGAAGTTGAACAAGTTATCTGCCTACTTAGTTGAAATTGCTTCGACGTGACTACACTGTCCTCCGAATAATCTACTACAGGATGCTCTAGCAAGGGAACTAATTTCTGGAAACATTTCTCAAAGTCAAATATCTGAGATGAAACTATTCAAAAGACTCACTGGCGAAACGGATGTGCGATAATAGTCACTGAAACACCTGGCAGTTGCTTACTCTGGCCAATGCGGGTTGTGTTACGAGGAAAAGTAAACAGCTGAGCACATAATATGACACAGCGAATACCTTACTAGGGCTAAGCTTCTCTTCCTCGGACCATCGTACCCAGAAGCACATGGTTTTGGTATCCTAGATTTTTCGTAACCACTCTGTAACCCAGCCCTAAGTGTGTTTTTGATGTCGTTTTGGAGTTTTTACTATTTTTATATTTTACTATGTGGGACCGCTATAGGGAACTGAAGAAGGAAGCGAGACGTATTTGCCGCAATAAGAAGAGAGGCGCCGAAATACGTGAGTGCGAAGAGCTTGAAATGCTGGCCGACAGGAAGAATGCCCGAAAATTTTACCAACGAGTTAGGCGGCTTACGGAAGGTTTCAAGACCAGGGCGTACTCCTGTAAGAACAACAATGGTGACCTAGTTACCGTTGTTCAGAACGTATTTAAATTATGGAGGGAACACTTTGCCACCCTACTGTATGGTAACAGCACGGAAAGTTGTGGAGAAGAAGAACCCGAGCCCGCAGTCAATGATGACGGAGTTGATGTACCACGCGCTTGACAATGACGAGGTACGAATAGCAATAACGCGTCTGAAAAACAAAACAAATCTGCTGGAGCTGACAGCCTGCCAGCCAGTGTTGCCGCGCATAATTTTTAGTGGTAGCCAAATTCCTTTAAAAAAAGGGCTAAAAAAGAGCTAAAAAAAGTCGTTGCGGCTAAAAATGGTAGCTAAATTTTTTTACTTACATATACATATAAGTAATGGTATATAAAAACAATGAACTTTGGAAAATTTTATCCAACCAAAAACCTTTTTGTATAAAAGGGGAAATATACGACACCAGCTTGCTGGTTCCATCAAGTGATTGTACCATCAGGCTCGAAGCATATAACTTACCAGCATGCTGGTACAATATTTATTTCTTTACAAATGAGGTCGAGGAAAGATCGAAATGATTAAAGCCGAAATTTCATAATTTTTCTAGCATTTTGTTAAACATTGTTTGTTTTTGTAATTCACAACCGCAATATCGTGAACTTAATCTTCCACAAACACGGCTTTGACTCATATAGTTCAAGAAATTTCCGCCAAAATACTTTTTACTTAGAAAATTGAGCTAATTTCACCACTAACGACATCAGCATGCTGGTACAATCACACCACAAGAACATACACGGTCAATCGACTTGATGGGTCATTTAACAAATTTAGCATATTAAGGGCCGTAAACTTATCTTTCTTAAACTATAGTTAAATCGTTAACAGATAAGTTAAAAGCCCCAATACTTTTACAGTAAGTATTTATAAAAGCGTAAGGAACATACAATACATATATGTATATATATCTGTCTTTCTTAGTTTAAAAATTCATCTCTTACATAAATGCAAAAAAAACAAATTAAGCATATACAACTTTTTCATGCCAAGGATGAATGAATTCTAAAAAGGGCTAAAAAAAGGGCTAGGGGCAATTTTAAATTTATGTGGCCAAAAAAAGTATGTGGTAGCTAAATCTAGCCACCAAAGGGCTAAAACGGCAACACTGCTGCCAGCTGAGCTCTTCAAATACGGAGGCGAGGAGTTGAAAAGGTGCATGCATCAACTCTTATGCAGAACATGGTAAGATGATTGCATGCCCGACACCTGAAATTTAAGTGTGCTCTGCCCCATACACAAGAAAGGGCACCTCGCCATTGGCGCCAACTACCGTGGGATCAGCCTTCTAAGCATAGGTTATAAGGTCTTATCGAGTGTATTTTGCGAAAGACTGAAGCCTACCGTCAACGAACTGATTGGACCTTATCAGTGTGGCTTTAGACGTGGCAAATCCACTATAGACCAGGTATTCACAATACGCCAAATCTTGGAAAAGACCCGCCAGAAAAGGATCGACACTCACCACCTATTTATCGACTTTAAAGGCGCTTTTGACAGCACTAAAAGGAGTTGCCTATACGCCGCTATGTCTGAATTTGGGATCCCCTCCAAATTCATACGGCTGTCTAAAATGACGTTGAGCAATACCACAAGCTCTGTCAGAATTGGGAAAGACTCCTCCGAGCCGTTGGCCACAAAACAGGGTTCCAGACAGGGTGACTCCCTCTCATGTGACTTCTTTAATTTGATGTTGGAGAAGAGCTGGAAGAGCTGCAGAACTGAACCGCTCAACAACAATCTACTACAAGAGTGTGCAATTGCTGGCTTATGCCGATGACATCGACATCATTGGTAACAAAAACCGCGAAGTCTGTTCTGCCTTTTCCAAGTTGGATAAGGAAACAAAGCGAATGGGTCTGGTGGTAAACGAAGACAAGACGAAGTATCTCCTGTCATCAAACAAACATTCAGCACATTCGCGCCTTGGCAGCCACGTCACTGTTGACAGTTATAATTTCGAGAAAGTAGAGAATTTCGTTTACTTGGGAGCCAGCATTAACACCGATAATAATGTAAACATGGAAATCCAACGCAAA